ATCGAATGCAATTTAACGATGTTTTTTGCCTGATATCTGTACGTAAGGACAGAATAAAAGACTCGTTTCCTCCAAAAAATTATAAAACTGCTTTAAAATGAATTCTGAAGAGAATTTTTCGTGGCGTCTGTACGAACGTATGTACGTACGTATGTATCTCGCATAACTCAAAAACGAGTTGCCTCAGAACGTTGAAATTTTGTATATAGGACTGCTAATATATCCACTCTGTTACCCGGCTCAGTGATCTAAGTTTCTTTACTCTTATATGTTTGTAAATTGTACATTTTTTGCTTTAAAAATGATTGAATTATTGTTTTTTTATCTTCCGGTTAAGGACTTTATGCCTTTAGTAAATCTGTGTGCAATATTTTTAGAATTATCAGCAATTTTAAAGTTGTTTAATTGCCGCTAAGCCTGTTTTTAATGACGGCCATTGATGTTTACATTTGAAATAGGAGACTAGTGGATTTGTTGCCAATCTAGAGAAACTTAGCTTCGCAACGACAAAGATAACGCATTCATTTATTATTGCCAATTAAATCATGCTTAATTCTTTCTGGAATATTTTCGAGGAAATAAGTGTTTGAGATTTACTTCCTAATTTTTAATATAGATATTTTGAGTTTTTATGTATTTTTGCCTTCTCGCGAAGTGAGAACTGAATTAATTAAATGAGAAATACTCAATTGTCTGTGAAAAACTGTTTCTTTTTTGTTTTGTTTGCTTAATTTCTTTTATACATCATTCTAGCTTTATTATAGTATTTGAATAGAACATGTGGCAACGATTACATAATTCTGTTCTTTAAATGATATGAATTTTGTGCTTTATGAGTTATAATATGAACGAAGTATATACGTTTACTGTTATATAATTATTGGATTATATAACAGTTAACTTAGTTTCCATTATATAATTATTATATAAGTTAACTGTTATATAATTATTAATACTGTTAAGTGAACCTAGCGCCAGAGTGTCGCTATGGTAAACAAATACTAGAGTGAATTTTAAAGAATGCATTTATTCTATTGTGGTTTATGCGCTGTCGGCGAAGTAGATTTAATTCAATCCAATAAGTTTAAATGAAATGCAAGAAAAAATGCGTATAATTTAATATTCCAATACAAGGAAGTCATGTGGTGTACACATCAGATTTTTTTAATCCCTGAATACATCTTCATGCACAATTATATCTTTGCGAAAATTGTACTTTTTGCTCTGTATGCGGTAAAATGTTTCATGTTATGTCAGCATATTAATTTAAATAAATTCGTCTTTTCTTCAAAAATGATAAATAAAGTCATATTTCAACAGTGAAATAATTGCTAACATGTGATTTGCATTGATTTAGGAAATATGATTTTTTTAAAATATATAAAATGCATAACTTAATAACTTACTTTATAGATTAGTTTCATTTTTAAATATTTTGTTATATATTTATAAAAAATATTTTAAGTATTAATTATTTTAACAAAATATTAACAATAATTTAGCATGTATTTTTAGTACTAATTAAATTTAATTATTCAAGTATTTATATTAAATTTATATTTCATTAGATGAATCTACTTTAGATTAATACAGTCAAAAGTCGTTAATTCGGACTCGTCGGGACTTCGGCGATTCCGGATTATAGATCATCAGTTTAAATCTCGTAAGATGGCATGCAGAAATTCTAAAATTAAAAATATGGAACCGTAATTTATGAAATAAAGAACAATTATGATTTAAAGGCTATCAAAATTTACAAAAAAAAAAAAAAAAAAAGCTTAATATTTATTTGTTTACTTTATTAAACATTTCTCTCATTGTAAGTTGTTTAAGTTGCTTCATTTTATGTGATAATACTTTCTCTTTAATTCTATAAAAAGACATAATTTCTTGTTCAGTTACAAAGTTTCGCTGTTCAAGTCCCGTTAATTGCTGTGCCCAGAATACCGACTAACTTGTCAATCGAAATTTTTTCATTTTCACTAACCTCTCTGTCACATTCTTCATGTCTTTATCCATTTTTTGCAGCAATTCCACTTTTTGTTTGTTGGACATCGAAACATACTTTTGTTTTGTAGATCCTTTGGAAGTTCCAGCATCGGAAATTCTATTTGACATAATCGAAAGTTCAAGTTTACTTTTATAAAATTGCTCTTACAGTCTGCAAAAAATAATAAGCGGGATCCAATTCGAAGATTAAGGAACAACGCAATCATTAACATTAACTGAAATAGATAATTAGATAATTTTAGCTTACACCGTCCGTTATACATGAAATGCGCAGGCGGAAACGTATTCTGAACTTGCGCACACGCATATGCGCAGTAGTCAAGGTCTTACTCGCATGCGCAGAAAGCTTTTAGCTTTGAAGTCCGGATTATAGATCATTCCGGATTATGGGTGTCCGAATTAACGACTTTTGACTGTATATTTAGATGAAATAAAGTAATGAAACATTGCAAATAAATCTTATGCGGACTTCAGATTCTTGAAAGGGCAGATTTAGTCTCTTTTTCATTCTAAAAGTAACACTGATGAACTATGAAAAAAGTGGTAAAACAACCACATCTAAAAACGGTCATATCATGACGTTTCAATGACGTTGACAAATTGGCAAGATGCGACGGCAAATATTTTGCGTCTTTGCAACATTTTTAAAAACGTTGCAAAAGTTACCACGACCACTTTGTAAACTCTTGGACCAGTTAGCAACGTCTTTCTAACGCCGTGTGCTACTTGGGTCTGTTTCATTGTGTGCTTTGAACTTAACTTGAAGGGAAATACCATTAACACCGTGTGTAATGCGCGACAAAAAATTTTATTTCATAAAGTGAAAAAATATTACTGAAGATTATTGGCAAAAGTAAATCTAGATTTTAGGCATATTTTCTGTAATATGTAAAAGTTCATATTAGTCAATATTTATTTGTGTATTGCAATACTAAAGGGTACTGTCAACAATTAGGAATTTACAAAGAGCTACCAAACATAAAAGATGGGCTTTAATGAATAATAGTTTGAAGTTATTTCATAACAGAACATCAGATATTGCTACTGTGACAGTAATATAACTTGCCAAGTCTGATGGAAACATTATGGTTCACCTATTAGATACCTCTGAGTTGGCAGTAGTAGCTTTTTGTGTTGTTTATGATAAACAATGAAAATTTTGTTCTGACAACAAAAAAATTAAAGTAATAAGTAATTGTTGGGATTTATTTCACTTACTAATTCAAAAGTCAAACAACAAAAATCAGCGTTGTATTTTCAAATTTTCACAGGACTAGTTTCGATGGCTTTACTGAACCGTCATCCTCAGCTGCACCACACTTTAAATCATGTCATCCAACTAAACAAAAGTTAGCTTCATTTTATTCGTATGTTTTCCATGCTCTTTAAGTTTGCTCCTCCAAACTATTCCTTGATGAAGAACTAAATTATTTAAAAGCAATAGCTATTGACAAAAGTTTTCCACCCAACATTATTAATCAAGCAGTTAAAAAATTCTCATCTCAATACACCAAAAGGCACACTCTTGTTTTAGGAGATTATAAAAATTCTGTTGGCATTCCCTTCTTTCCATCAGTTAGCTATAAAGTTGCATGTATTTTGCAGAAATTTAACTTTCGAATAGTTTATTCTCCCATCAAAATTCCGAGTTCCATACTCAAGGACCCCATTCCGGATATGAATTCCTGGGGTATTTACAGGATTCCTTGCCAGTGTGGTTTAATTTACATTGGCCAAACTAAGAGAGCCTTGAAATTTCACGTCAAGGAACATGAGGCATATATTAGAAAAAGGAAACACAGAAGTCTTCTGTTGCCCAACATTGTTGGCCCGAAAATCACACTTTCAATTTTTCTGCTGCCAAAATTATTCAAAAAACATCTTCCATTGGTGAACTGGATTTTCTAGAGGCATTTCACATTCAAAAAAAAATCTTTCTGTTCTAGTTAACGACCCTAATTCCAATCCATCTTTGGCTTCAACCTTTAAAGAAATTATGCTTTAGTTCTGGTTTCATCAACAGATGGCGCCAGTAGCTTATCTCCTGTCCAAGCTTTCTTATCTCATCTACTCATTATATCCTATCTTGTTCATTTGCGTTTTTGCAGGTGAGGATGATGGTTCGGTAAAACCATCGAAACTAGTCCTGTGATAATTTGAAAATATTACACTGAGTATTAGTATTTGTTCGGCATGTTATTGTGTCTTAATTATTTATTTCACTTGTCTAACAGTGAACTAAATTGAGTCCACTGAATTTTTTTTTTTTTTTTTTGTGTCCAAGAGGCAAGCCTGCCATTAACTTAGGACTTGGTCACCATATAGGTGAAGTTCAAATTTATACAGCTCCATTTCAGTTTTGAAAGGGAATCCTTGAGGGCTGTTTCCAAGGGTCTCCCATAATAGCTCTTCCATTTTTACCAGTCTCTCAAAAGGACCTTTGGTTCAACAGGATCTTGAGTGCTACTATGTTTGTTCAGTTTTGAAGGGGAATCCTTGAGGACTGTTTCCAAGGGTCTCCCATAATAGCTCTTCCATTTTTACCAGTCTCTCAGAAGGACCTTTAGTTCAACATGATTTTGAGTGCTACTATGTTTGTTATAAAGACTCTTCACTCTCATAAACAGTGGTGTCTTCTCCAGGATTTGAACTTGGATGAAGACTGGAAGCTGGCTCCTCTGCTCAATATCAACAGTAGCAGATAATTAGTTGAAGGGAGTTATTTGAAAGCATGTGCTTTTCTGTATCATTGAAATAGATATGTCACATTATAATTTTATTGAATGATAGGGCAGAAAAGAAGGGTAAATTAAGAACAGTTTTTCTAAAAGCGTGAATGTAATGCTTTTTTCATTTTTATATAATAAACACCCTAATTTATAAGACTGTAAATTGATAAACTTCATACAAAGCTAACTTCAATTAATAAATAATATATATATGTATATTAAAAATGTTTTTAATATTTATTGCATATCATTTTTTGATAGGGTTGATGGATTGCTGGCTGTTATGATAACTGATCGTGATGGGATTCCTGTAGTTATGAGTAGGTTTTATTGTTCTAATTGCAATTAATTTAATTTTTGAGAAAAAGATCACATAATTTTTTTTATTAATGTGTAGTTTTATGAATTTATGAGTTGTATTCAATCTTTTCTGTATATGGATTTATTTACTAAATGCAAATGTATTGTATTTGCTTGTATATTCCTCCTCTTTATATGCAAATTTAATTGTTTAAAAATTAGTAGGGGTAATTAAAATTTAGTTGGGGTAAATAATTTGAGCACTGGGGATAGAGGAAGAACCTAGCAAATTAAAAATTTTGATAATATACTAAATAGTTTATTAAATGTTTCAAAGTAATCAGACATGAAGCATGGTGGCGCAGTGGTTAGCATGTTGCGCATAGGGTTGCCACCTCTCCCTGAATTCCGGGATTTTCCCAGAATTGAGCCCTGAAAATTAAAATCTCCTGGCTCTCGGAAGGAATTTAAAATAAATATTACTCTCCTGGAATATCAAGTTTCCTGAAAATAACGATACAATGCGCACGGACGAAATGGTTGACAGCATCGAAAATCATACGACCGCGCACAACAGCTAAAGAATGTCTATACATTTTCTTTGCAGCAGCGATCTGCGGTGAGTAAGCGCATTGCTGATGAATAGTGGAGCCGGCGTGTTGCGTGCACGCCCTCCATCTTCTCATTTTCAATCCATTCTTTCATTTAGTCTGCAGTTAGCTAGCTATCTACGAACAAGTGCGTCTTTTGAAATTATTTAAATGCGTTCATAATAATGTCTAGTATAAAGTGACCACACGTCCTGATTTCGGAGGGACAGTCCGGTATTTTTGGAGGACTATCCCACGTCCCACCAATTTTTAAAAATGTCCCGCTTTTTAGAAAACATCTGCATTTCTTATTTTAAATGTATTGTAAAAATATATTACCTATTATTTATTAATTATTATAGTAAATATAAAGAAATAAAAAATACTTAAATAAAAAAAAAACACATAAAATGCATGCAGAGTAAACTAAATTAGGTGATGTAACAAGTTAGATTTATTCGGTGGCATTCTATCGTTATTACATCTCGTCAAGGAATATGTATTGTTAACAAAGGAATAATTATTATTAGCTGAAGGGCTATTTGCTTTCCACACCATAAACCACAATCAAAGTTTCAAATCCATTAATTGTACTTCACAAATGATCAAAACATTGTACGACAAAAAATTTGCATATGCAAGGACAAAAACCGAAGCAATTATTTGTAATGTTTTTTCACTATACTATATTCGTTTTCACAATTGCAGAAAGAATAAGATAAATGCACAGTTATATCCATATATTACGATGCTTTAACCACAAAGATTTAAAATTATTTCCCACAATTGTTAAACTTTTTGATCCAGAAACAGGAATTAAAATTAGAATATAAGATTTTGTTTCATTGCCGGGTGAAACTTCATAATTTTTGATTCAATAAGCACTATTTTAAAAAATAATTTGAACAATAAAATTATTACCTATTGTGAGGATAACACTAATGCAAATTTTGGTAGAAAAGCTAGAAGAGACATCAATAATGTTTTTACGAAACTTAACATTTGAACCAAAAAATTATTGGAGTAGGTTGTGAAGCGCATATTCTATACAGTACTATTCAAACAGCATCTGAATTCCGGTGGATTTACTTCCAGTGGATCTTGAAAATATTATTGCAAAAATTTATCCATATTTTTATATATATATACTGTGCGTGTTGAAAGTTTGAAGGATTTTTGTGAAAGTGCAGAAATCGAATATAAAAGAATTATTGGTTATAGCAAAACATGATGGCTAGCTTTTTACCAGCTGTAGAAAATATTTTTAAAATGTACGAACTGTTAAAATCATACTTTTTATCACAAGATAAATGTCCAAGAAGATTGCAGCTCTTTTTTGAAAATGACACATCACAAAATTTGGCTTCAGTTCATTCACAACCGAGCTGCATTATTTCACAATGCTGTGAAAATGATTGAAGTGGACAAAATTTCAATTACGGAAGTGTCAAATGAAATCAATAATTTAAAAACAAAATTGCGAGAAAGAATTGATAATGATTACGTTCCTTTAAGTTATGTAAGAAGAAGCATCACTAGGTTGGAAGAACAAGGTGCCATTGAATGACCTGATTTTCTGAAAGAAGTCAGTAATTTTAATAATAACTACTTGGAATATCTTGAAGAACAGATAATTCAATTCGAGGATATTAAAAATTTTCGTTGGGTGACATTAAAAAGGAGATTTTATGGGAATATGTGAAAAAATCTTTTTAATATATTAGTAACCATTTTCAAAAAATAATATTTTCAAAAATGATCTTTTTGATGAGGTGTCATAAAAAGATACATTACTGGAAAAAAAATTAAATGTTGGTTGTCTGCAAATGTGGAAACAGACACAAAATGGACGGAGTTATTCCTTCATTTTAAACAGAATAATACAGTTAAAAGTCTGTAATCTGGACTCGTCGGGACTTCAGCGATTCCGGATTATCGATTTTTCTGGATTATAGATCATCAGTTTAAATCTGGTAAGATGGCATGCAGAAATTATAAAATTAAAAATATGAAATTGTTATTTATGAAATAAAGAGCAATTATGATCTAAAGAGTATCAAAATTTACAAAAAAAAGTTTAATATTTATTTGTTTACTTTATTAAACATTTCTTTCAACATGCACATGCGTAAAGCATACATTGCGCTAGTCGAAATTAGAAAATTACAACCAGAAAACTATTTTAAGTGTATTCGTGATATTTATAATGACATGGAATTTGATTTAAATCATATCAAAGCCGGAGTACATCGAGATGAAATACTACATTTAGTAATTAATTATACGCCGAATATAATAAAAGCAGCTGTCCTGAAGATAAGGATAGTGCTGACAGATCAACTTCCTGTTCATTGCCCCCCCCCCCATGCAGAGCAGCGTGAAATTGATAAACAGATTTCGGAATGGTTAGAGAAACAAAGGTGCCTTTATCCATTTTTTGCAGCAATTCCACTTTTTGTTTGATGTATATCGAAACATGCTTTCGCTTTGTAGATCCTTTGGCAGCTTCAGAATCGGAAATTCTTTTTGACGTAATCGAAAGTTCAAGCTTACTTTTATAAAATTGCTCTAACAATCTGAAAAAATAATGAGCCGAATCCAATTGGAAGATTAAGGAACAACGCAATCTGCAACATTAACTGAAATAGATAATTAGATAATTTTAGCGTAGCTTATACTGTCCGTTATACATTAAACGCGCATGCGTAAACGTATTATGCGCATGCGCAAACGTATTATGCGCATGCGCAAATGCATAATGTGCTTACGTATGCGCAGAAAGTTTGTAGCTTTGAGGTCCGGATTATAGATCATTCCGGATTATGGACGTCCAGATTAAAGACTTTTGACTGTATTATGAAAATATTTGAAAATTTTAGAACACGTGCTGTCCCTTCCAGGAACAAATGTAGCAACATAATGCGTTTTTTCTAGTATCAATAAAATATGGACGTTGGAAAAACACAGTTGAACATTAAAACTTTAAAATCTATATTAAGCGTAAACTATAATTTGACCAATTCATGTGAGAAATTTCACGACATTTTAATAAATGATCCGAATCTATTGCAAAGTATTCACTTGGATAAAAAATATGACCGTGAAAGAAAATCATAATTTTTTAAATTAGTTAAAAAAAAATAATATTCATATTATAGATTTTTACAAATATTTTTATAGTTACCAATAGTCATTAATAAATATATTTTTTTATATTTATAGACAAGCATATGAATGTATATGATAAAATATTTTTTTGAATTATTGGTCTGCTTTCATAACTAAATTACAATTCTCATTTCATTCCATTTGTCCCGCTTTGTCTCAATGAAAACGTGGTTACTTTAGTGACAAAAACGATTCTGATTAGCAAGTGAACAAGTGCCACAAAAAAAAGACAAAGTATTCGCCGTCGTTTCAAAACAAGTGATTTACTCAATTTAATTGGCTTATGAAGAAAGACAACTTTAATGGAGAATGCAAATTATGTCATAAAACAGTTAATATTAAGTATGAGGGTGTTAGAGTTATAACTGTACATTCCCAAAGCAAGAAACACCAATCGTTAATATTGAATAGGGATTCTTCGCAAACGGTTTCGAACTTTTTCGTGAAGAAATCTTCAAAAGAAGAGGACAATATATCAACAATTGAAATTACTTCAATCTATCATGGGATTAAGCACCATCATAGTTTTAATAGCCAGGATTGCACAAGCAAGTTGTATAGCTATTTCCAGATTCTTCTTTGGCAAAAAAGATTTCTTGCGGTAGAACAAAATGTACAAGTATTTGCGAGAGTGTGCTTGCTCCTGGAGCTCAAGAAGTACTTTTACATGAGATTAAAGAAGCAGAGTTTTTTTCAGTTGCAACAGATGCGTCGAATAAAGGCAACGTTAAAATGTTTCCAGTAGTCATGCAATATTTTCATAAGGAAATTGGGATAAAACACGGACTACTCTATTTTTACCGTGATCCCCAAGGAAAAAGTGGTGAGATTAAAAACCAGATTTGTCGAGTTTTCATCGAAATTAATTCAGATATAATAAATGTAACTTCGTTTGCTGCTAATAACGCTTCTGTCAATTTTGGCATAAATAATTTTGTGTATCAAAAACTTAAGATTGACAATGAAAACATTTTAAAAGCAAACTGTGAATGCTACACATTACAGAACTGCACAAAATTTGCATTAAAAGGCATAAAATTCGCCGTTGAAGCCTTAGTCTTGAAAGTTTGTTGTGAATTTTCAGCATATGCTAAATGAACAGAGACTTTGAAAGATTTCCACGCATTTTTTAATATTGAGTATCGCGACATTTTGCGCCATGTGCCAATTAGATGGCTATCTTCATTGCCAGTGTTAGAGCATTTGCTTTGTAATTGGCCAGCTTTACGGATGTATTTTATTGTAAAAGGAGAAGAAGAATGTAGTACAATTATTTGGCAAGCATTTAAAGACGAAAACTCACTGCCTTTGTGCTAATGTTACTTTTTTGCACGTTATGCAAATTTTCGATAATAAAATTAAAATCATCGAAAGTGATTTTGTTATTTGCACAGAATTGCACAATGTTATGCTTAAATCTGCCGAAAAATAACAAATAGAAAAAATGACAAATTTTTTGGTAGTTCAGTAAGAGATTTTTAAATGAAACGGACAAGGCTACGTTTTATAAAGGTGCAGACATTTTCTTTGAGAGATGTTTAGATTACCTGAAAAAATGGTATGATTTCGAAAACTGAGAGTATAGTAAATTGAGCATACTTTCAATGAAAAAACCGATTACGTGGGATGCTTTGTGAGACTTGGCCATTGATTTAAAGATCACGCTTGATGAAAATAAACTTTATGAAGATTTCTGCATTTTGAGGGAGGTTCAAGACAGCATTGTTAAATCAAATGTAAGAATTTATCTGAGATGGGCAAAATTTTTCTCAGCGGTCGAAAATAGAGTTGAAGATATGTTGATGAAAGTAGTTTCATTCGTTTGCCTATACCTGCATCAAACGCTGCCTGTGAACATGTTTTCAGTATAGGGGTCGATATATGAACTAAGGAAAGAAACCGTTTAAATGAAGAACATGTCAAGGCAGATATCCTAACGTCTTCAAATTTAAAATGGACTGCAGTTTTTTAAATTTGTTATTTCCAGACCAGATATTTTGAAATCCGTACAATCAAATGCAAAATATAAGTTCAAAATAAAATAAAAAGTTATGAAAATTGATATTTTTTTTTCTCCTCTCCTGGATTTTGACAACCAAGAGGTGGCAACCCTAGATGCGCAGCAGCACCACAGGTCTGAGGCTCAATCCTCGTGCTGGGCAAGGTTGACTCAGCATTTTATCCCTTGGGTCGATAAAATGAGTACCAAGTTTGATTGGGGACTAAACACTGGGATGGGGGGGGAGGCTGCGACAGGCTGACCACTTGTTCAAGGCATATGCTCACACACCCCGGGCAGATTTTTGGGCACTGCAGACCTTGGCCCGCTAGGGCTGTCGCACCACTGAGTTTAGTAGTAGTTAATCAGATGCAGTTATTATCATCTGTACTAGAATTATGTTTATTTTCCAAGGAAAGATTACTACCTTTTCTTGGGCTGTGTGTCTAAATCTGTATCTGTGTTATAAAATCTGTCTGTGTAATCTAAATATTTAATGAATGATGCACTGTAAAAAATGTATTATAGACATTTGTTTTCTTATTTATATGTATGCCATGCATATACTAATAATTTGCTATACTAGCTCTCAGTAATCATGTGTTATGCAGTCTACCACTTTTAGTTATTTATTTTAGATGATGGTACTAAAATTATTATTATTATTATTATTTTTAAATCATATCTTTTTCTCTCCATTTAATTGAAATTTTGAATTTAAAAATAACATTTTAGTGTTGCCCTCTGAGAAATAACTAACTAAAAGCAGTGGATAGCATACTGCATTATTATCCGGTTTTCCTTACCATACTTTGGGTAAGATGCAGTAGAGACAGTCTACTCATTTACACTTACCAACTAGTATCCTTGATTCAGTTATGAAAATTTCATTGATTCAGTGTGATTTAAGATATGTAGTAGCATATATGTTTTAACAATAGTTTGTTATTAAGAATATCTTTTAATGTTATTATTCATTGTACAGTCCTCTTTTTTTTAAACCTCCAAACCTTTTTATCATTTTCTCCTCATAAAACTGTTATTCATTATTCTGCTCATTTTTAGCTTTGCTAGAAATATCTGCTGACCAGGTTTTAAGATTTAATTAAAAACTGGACATTTATTATCATCTGGACAAGTTTAAGATTTCCAAGGATTGTAAGATTTTTAAATCTTAAACTTGTGCAGATGATATTTCTGAGACATTAATTGAAGATAAAATAATGTGAAGATCATTGGCCTTTTTTTTTATAATCCATTTTTCTTTTGAAAGTCCAGTTAAAAGTTTATTTCTGTTAATATTTGTATGCAGTATTGCTCTTTTTTTGTTTCAGTAACATGTTCTGCACTTTTCATTGTTGTTTTTATTTCATTATCTGCATTATTGTTCTTCAACTGTAATAACAGAAACATACATTTCTTCTGACAAAAAGAATGCATAGGTTGGCTGTAGGATTTTGGTCTTGCAAAAAAGATAATAGAAATTGCAAAAATTTCTTTTTTTTTTTTTTTTTTTTTTCTTTTTATGAAAACTAATATCTTCCAAAAAATATCTACTTTGAAATATGAAACTTTAACAATTAAAAAATCTTAAATAAAATAAAAAGAGAAACTTCATAATTTTGTGAATACATGAAGTAATAACGAGTATCTTAAAGTACGATATCCAGAATATTTTTGTTGTCTTATTGTTATCAAGATCAATAATTTTTTTCTATTTTAATAATATAGTTTCAAGTTTCGAATGAATGTAATTTAATTGCCTTTGGTGCTTAAATAGAATGCAAAAGTAAATATAAAATTTATTAAAAAATGAATAAAATAGTTCTTTTCTTTTATAATCTTTGATTGTATTATCTAAAGACAGCTAAATTTTTATTTATTTAAGTAATGATATGATAAAAGGAAATAATGTTTTTTTACCAGATATTATGAAAGAGAATTTAGCAGCTGCTGGAGCCATGCTAATTGAATATGACCTATGCATATGCAACGGCATTTCTTGCTTAGTTATATAATAATTTAAATCTGCAGTTTCTTATTATAGACAAAGTCTTGTAACAAAACAATTTAAATACTTTTATAAAAACAATGAGTAGTTAAAGAATTGGTAACTCTTATTGAAATAATGACAAAGTTTTTGACCTTTTCACTTTTTTTGGTTTGATGGCCATAAACACGATCTGATATGAATAACTATTTTTTGGATAGGGTTTAATAATGCTTTTGCCAGGGATTCAATATAACTTTGAAAGGCGTTGATTTATTCATGTTATAACATATCCTCTTTTTTTAATATTTTGGAAGTGTCTTTTATTTAAAAATTATAACAGATAGCAACTTTTTGCTGTCAACAGTCATTGCCAGCACATTTCCACATTTCAGATTTTTTCAATCTGTATAATTTTCGCTAGCACAGAAGATGCTCCCTTTTTCGTTATACTGGGCATATAAAATACAGAGAAATTGATATGTATGTTCAATCTAGAAATTTGATCGTGTTACCAATCTGACTAAGATAGCACTTGTTTTCTTTGCTGGATCATAAAAATAGGAAATTATAACATTTTTTCATATAATTTTAAACTAATTGCAATGCAAGAATTGTTTCATTCCATAAATCACTTTCATCTTTCTCCAAAATCTGCTAATTCTTTGCTTGCTATAAATTGTTCCATTTTTATTCGCACCTTTTTAATCTTGCTTTTATCTTCATTGCTGAAAATTATGCCAGTAAATTTTCTGAACTGATACCAAAACAGCTGGGAGGGGAGTATGTGCCCATTACTATGGATTTCTATACTTACTAATATACAATGTCATGTAATTAATAGGGTTTTTGCTGGATATATGATTAATTAGTGATCTGCTTGAAATAGTTGGAAATTTTTATTCCTTGGATCAGGCTACGTATTTGCAGTCAGCTTACTTACATTAACACTGTTTACAGATTCAGCCAAGGTACAGAGACGTGCTGTTGGGGCAGAAATGGGATTAGGGTGTTCAATTGACTCTAAAAAAATAGAGATCTGCTTTTTCCAAGTGCTGATGTTACCTCAGATTGTTGCTATGTTAATCAGGCTTATGTGTTATGATGTATTCTACATGTTTCTATCCATAGTTATGCATATTTTTCATTGTTTACAGATGTGTTACACATTGAATATAATGAAATAGGAACTCACTTTTGGTATTATTTTACTGAAAAATTTGGAAATTCATGTTGATGGCAAAACATATCTGCTATCAGAATTCAATCAAAGTCAGGTATATCATTATACGCTACCATCTGTAGTGTGAAATATATAACTGAAAATTGTGAATAAATATGTTTATGTAATAAGAAATCATTAATTGTGAAAGTATTGCTGTGGTATGGTAACACGTAATACGGACAATATCTTTTTTTAAGGGGTGTAGGGTATATGAGGATTTATGCAGAGTTGTGTTGCAAATAATATGTGGAGTAATAGGCAAATGTAGATAATGTATGCAACATATAATAAATGAGTTTAGGTATTTTTTATGGCTGCAAATGTAATAATTGAGTTATGACAACTTTGTTTTACTTCCCAATTTAATGGCAATCTGGTTAAATTAAGAAAATTGAGAAATTCTGATTAAATAAGAAAAAATTAATAATTTATCATTAATAATAATTAACCTGAAAGCAAATGTTCTTAATTTTATGCAATTCAGTCTTAACATGTAAGTATTTAAGCAATTTAGTCTTAACATCTTTCATTTAAATGTCTGATAGAATGTTAAATGAATATTGTTAAGACTAAATTACATATGGAAAGAAGGATGTTAAGTTTTAACATCCTTTCTTTTCCTTTGTAGTTTAGGCTGAACAACATTTATGTATTAATTTTAACATTTATCTAACAGTCTTAACATGTACATAACTTTTGTAATGTAGTCTTATTTATGTAATCTAGTCCTTTAATATCTTCCAGGCAGAACAGGAAAAGTACCTGATGTAGTTTCCAAGCAAAATTTTCTTGCATCTGTGAGTCTAGCTATCGAACAAGCTGGAAAACTTGGATGTGGGAAGAATCGCCGAATTATGTGCATGTTTAACAGTTTCCAGGTATGTTTTAGTTTACATAATTAAAAATTTTTGTTAACTCTTACTTGACAGAATTGCATGAACTATCATATAGTGTAGTACATAATTTGAACAAATTCTGTGACTCTTTTTAATACCATTGACACAGAATATTATATGTACTCATATATATTTCAAATAGCTCTAAGCTAGTTTTATGTGATTGTTTCTTGAGGAATCTCATAATATAAAATGTTAACAGTTCAAACTTTCCATTGCTAGCAAAAACTTAGTATTTTGATATTGCATAATAATAAATTATTATTATTATGCTTGATTACTTTATTATTTTCTCTTGTCTTAATATATATGTGAGTCAAATGTTAGTTTCCAAAATTATCAATATATACATAAAAATAACAACATTTTATGCAGTAACTAATCAGTCTTATGCATTTTTTCTTGGGTGGGCACAAGACAAACTTAATTATCATTATCCAGTCCTGTGTGACTTGTTTTTGAAATGCAAATAATGGCACGCTGTCATTATTTATTTTTTCAATGCAATTCAGGATTTGATTCCATTCTTTATTCAATCAGAATAGTCTTTTTATTCAAAAATAATATTATTTAGAAAAACTCTTGAGATGGAGTACTAATGGCTGATTAGAAGCAGGACAGACATAAATGAATTCAAGATGGCTGAATGTTTTAAGACAGTTTGTAGTCTTTAAAAATTATACTCAATTAAAAAATTCTGAAACTTTGTTTGGAAGTTGAAACAAGATTACAGAGGTGGGAGTGAACTTCTCAAGATTAGTCTGTGTATGTAATTGCTTACTACTGTAAGAAATTAACTGTCAGGTAGCTGAATTTAGATGGAGGACTAATGCTCATTTAGAAGCAAGGCAGACATTAATGAATTGACAAGATGGCTAAATATTTTAAGACAGGTTGTTCTCTCTATTCTCTGCTAAAAAATTCCAAAACTTTTGTTTGGAAGTTGGGATAAGGTTACAGAAAAAGAAACTTTTCAAGATCAGTCTCTATCTGTAATTGCTCACCACTGTAAGAAACCGACTGTCAGGTAGCTGAATTAGACGTTGCGTCTGCTACTAGAAATTCTGTATTGCAGAAAACCCTAGACAGAAGGCTTAATAAGAAAGACCATATCCCATAAAGGCTTTTGTGTTATTGACTTCACAATAAAAGAAAACTCTCTTGAAGAGGTGCAAAAGAATCAAAGCAACAGTTCTTTTCAGTGGAGAAGGGTGGAAATTCGAGTGAATCGACTGCCTTTCATGAACATGAAGATGAGCCAGTTTCTCTTAGAAAATTTGGTACTGCTCTGTTTGGGGGGGGGCACTGGCAATAAATTAAACCCTTTGACAAGCAGTGGGACACCAGGCGTCGCACCTTTCTTTACAGTTTTTACCTCCAAGATGAAAGCTGCAAAATTTCATTAAAAATATATACATTTATGCCTTTTAGTTTTCTAAATGTGTAATAGATAGCAGCAGTAGTATCTATCCATGGAAATAATGTGGAATAAATTCTTTTCATGTCTAATTTAGAAGCAGTTTTTTTCCTTAATTTCTTATTCAATTTCAATCGTCCGAACAACAGCTTTTGGTATTAAAACGAATATTTTTATCTGAAAAAGATAATTTTTTCTAATAAAATTATTAATTCATATATATTAATTAAATTAAAAATGGTTGAAATTAAAAGATGGGACAAATATGTCCCACTGTGCATGGAGGAAATACTGCTACTAGGTGGCAGCACTGTTAAATTTTTTTAAAATTTCAAATATGTTCATTTCATATATAGATAATGCAAATTTATATTTTTTTAATAAATTGCAGTAATGTTAAAACTTGAAAAAGATTTAGTATTTTTTGTGAAAGAAATGAAAATATAATCCTGTAACATGAAATGTCACTAAATACTGATCCTAAGCAGAGGAAAGAGAGGTGAAATGTAAACAAACATGACAGCCTTCTAAACATCCTCCTTTTCAAAAAACGTCTCTGTTTCAAATCTATTATGAGCTCATTAAAAAATACCTAAAACGTACTGGGAGCAATTTTTTTTATGTAATTTTTTTGAAATTTTTTTTTTATTTTGTGAATATGATCAATGCTTTCTAGATAATTATTCAAAAACATTTTTTATATCTTGCAGTTTCATTTAGTTGTTAAAACTAGCATTTTATATAAGCATGTTAGAATTTACATTCTGGCAAAGATGGCATTTTATTGCTCTAGATACTCAATGGGGCAAGTGGTATGCCACCGCATCATGAATTACCTTAAAGGTTTACTTTCTTTTTTGCATGACATAACATTGTATTAGGGGCTAATTATCTATGTGTAAAGCCCCCCCTCTATTTTTTTTTTAATTTTTATTTTTTTTATTCACTGAACTTCAAAAGGTTAAAAACATCAAACACAAAATAAGACAAAAATTTGAAATCTAGATCCTAATCATGAATAATTAATTCCCATACAGAATAGCAACTTTATGGCAAATTAGACAAAGCAGCTTGCTTGTAAAAGGTCAGTTGCTTGGTTAAAGGTTTCAGTCTCAACTTTTAAAATTAGAAGCAGGGAAGCATTTTAAGGGATTATCAGCCTTTTACTTTAAAATAGGCACTTCAGGAGCATAGTGACCTTCCTCTAATTTACGATCATAATGTGTATCATCATCCCATACTAACGAGATTTTAGCAAATCAGAGGATATGGCCTTTTTGTCATTGCAGTCATTATCATGATTATGTAGCTTGGTTTGGGAGCAAAAAATGACTTTGAAGTGTGCCTATTCTGTAGTAACACACTTTCCAGTATTTTCCGCATGCCATTTGTTTCATTTAGTAATTTGACTGGTTTTCTTCAGTGTTTATAATTATATAAAAAGCTTAGTGATAGAGAGGAAGAGGTGATTAACAATGCTTCATACTGACTCTACCAGCAAACTTTCGTGAAGGAACTGAACTCATTGTAAGGGTTTGAGCTTTTTAATGTCTGGAAATATTATGACAATACAGAATTCATTATAAGCTATTTCTCAGCCTGAGTAAGTGATATAATCAATCTGAGATCTTATTTCTGCTATGAAAGAAGTCATTTTATTAGTAGTAAAAAACCAGAATTCTAACATCATTAAATGTGAATAAAATTAAGAGCTATGTGAGAAGTAAATATTATAATGCCCCCTTTTTTTAATATTTTTTAAAAATATATGTTTCTCAAAATAAGTATTTATTACATATATATGTTTAATATTTTCTTTTGTGAATAATTATATGTTGTATTATAAAAACTTTATTTTTTTGTTAGGTTGTACACTTTAATAAATCTCCTCTGATGGTCAGTTTAGTAGCAAGTGCTGAAGCCAATACTGGTAAGATAATAAATTTTTGCTTTCAGTATGCTGAGTTTAATATAGTTTTGTGTAATTCTTTTATTTTCATTTGTAATGCTATTTATTTTCATAGTTTTCCCCATGTGTAATGTGAATATGAGCCAGTTTCGCTGAGAGAATTCTCCATCCAAAGCATCTTTCCTCTTAGAAAGTGCGTGCTTTGCCATATTCAAATAACCTAACCTGATAGGTCTAGCTATGTTAGATAATGAATTAATTCTTCGCACTTTTTTGTAAAGCCTTTTTTTGTATCTGTTCTTCATTTTGTTTTGTTGAATATTGCAGCAATATGGCTTTTAAGCTAAAACTAGCAAAGGGGGGGGAATTAATAAAATATGGAAGACATTTTTAAAAAAGTACTTTGATTTAAAATTAAGTATGGATGAACAATATAACATTGTAGTGCAATAGGTAGGAAACTTCTGTTCCTTAAATAATACAGTATAGTGACTAATATATCATTGTACTGCATTTCTTAACAAATATAGTGTAGTGGTAAACATTGTACTTCATTATTACAAGGTTTAGAATCTGAGTGGTAAAAAGAAGTTACAAAATAATATTAGACAAATAAAATGAAAAATTTCAATCTGTTTTGATTTGAAATCATATCTTAATTTGCTAATTGAGTAATAGGAAAAAAGATTACTTTTCAATGAAATTTATGTAAGAGTAGATTTTTACCTAAAATTATTGTATAACCATACAAAAGTAAGTATATCTGAAATATGGAATTTTCTAAACTCTTGCTATTTAGATTAAAGCAAAACATCAATAATATTGACAGTAAAAAATATCATACTTAACATCATATGAAACATTCCTTTTATAAAATTTTAAAATGCAATATGTTATGGATATGTTTCTGTTTGTATAGTTTCTAATTTTTCAACATTGATGATTCTTGTTGATATATGTTAATAATGATAAGGATGGATATGCAAAAATTTCAAATATATTTTGCTTGGTTTAATAAATATATAATAAACTGTAAGCTTAGTTCTGAAAATTAAAAAAAAAATATTTTCTTAGTATTCTTTAACACATTTTCCTCCCAAAAATGAATTTCATCTGTAGTAGTAGTTCATCTGTGTATAAATTATTTTCATTCTATTCTAAGAATTCATAGACCATTGAAATTGATATGTACTTTAATCTTTCGTTCTGAAAGTAAGAGTAGGGAAAAATCTGCCTAAAATTAGATCATACACTTTCATAGATTTATAGTTTAAGAAGATGAATTTAAAGTCTTTCTTTTCATATTAAGTCTTATGAAAGTCTTATGTAGTGTCTATTAATTAAAATTTTGCATTCGACCATTTTGAATATATTTAGTTCTGTTTTTCAGAAACTGTTTCAGAAACAATGCATGTTTAAGTCTTTACATGTATAATAGAAATATATTATTTTAGTAGCAGTAATTTCAGAATTGAAAAATTTTCTAATTTTTACAATTTTCCCATGTTAAATATTAATTAGTAAATGAAATTAATCTTAAATCATATTGTAAAATTGTTGCATGAAGCAGATTACTTTTCTTGAGGTTTAAACAACTTTAAATGTAGAAAAGATTTCATAAATTCTTTAGTTTACGTAAATAATTTAATTGGAAGTTCTGATATATCACTGTATTGGTTTTATCACATTTGAAATACCTATAGAAATATTTTTAAGCATATAATTTCCTTGAAATTTTTTTAGCAGACAATTTCTTCTTTAAAATGTAATAAAATCCTGTGATTTTGTAAAGTTTTTCAGATTTAAGTGTAGCTTGGAATATTTAAATACAGTAATGCTTTATTAATAAATTGTTTATGCATGTATTCACATTACTTAAATATCTTTAATATGTGTTATTAATATATGAACAACAGTAATATGCAGTTAATCTCTGAAATATTACAATATGTTTTTTATTTTAATTTTTTCATAATTTTATTCCCAGTAAATGTAACATTATTACTGAACTGCTCTTCTTCACCATAATATATTCTTTTGTCTTAATTATCTAAGGAACATTACTTCCTTAATCTTTTTTTTCAAGTAAAATATTTTTAAATCTTAAAATGCTGAATCAAAGGAATTTCAAAAGTTTTTGAATTTATAGCTGATCTTTGTACTAGCTAAGTGTCCTGAAGTTAATCAAGTTAAATGTTTAAGAGTAGAAAGATAAATTAAGCTGGATAATTAAGAAGTTAGGCATTTTTTGAAAGAGAAAGCCAGAATTTCACTAGTGCAGGCAATAAAAAATATTTATATGTATTTGTATAGTCTTTGCATTTCTAATTATTTGTACTTTTTAATTAACCCTCTCGCTGCATACTTTTCTTATCAAAATAGGTTCAAAAATTGCGTATTTTTTATTACATATTTCAAATCTACATATATTTTAATAGTTAAAATAGTTAAATTTTAATAGTTAAAATATACAAAAATTTTGTGTAAAAGAGTTTTTTTTTTTCAATATAGATTAGATCATAGAAAAAAGGTTGAATACTGAAATTGAAGAAGAATTATATAAAAGGAAAATTTGAAAAATTAATATTGGTTAAATTATGATTATTTTTAACAACACAAGGTTAAAAATATACAGTACAAGTCTGTAATCCGGATGTTATTATCGGACCTCAAAGCCCCAACTTTTTTTTCTTTCGTAGCTTTACGCATGCGCATTTAATGTTTAGACATGTGCATTTAGCATAAAAAAGGAAGCAACTTAAACAACTTACATTAAAAGAAATGTTTAATAAAGTAAACAAATAAATATTAAGCTCTTTTTTTTTTTTTGTAAATTTTGATACCCTTTAAGATCATAATTGCTCTTTATTTCATAAATTATGGTTTCATATTTTTAATTTTATAATTTCTGCTTGCCATCTTACCAGATTTAAATTGATGATCTATAATCTAATACTAGTACCATATACTAATGAAAATATTTGCGTAATGTAATATTTTGCACATCAATTTTGTACCACTATTGAACATTTTCAATAGAAACTGAATTTTCCGATTCATCGCTATTTGCAGAAGAATCCGAGAAATTCTGATCAGTTTCACTATCTTCAATATACTTGAAATCATTGTCACAAATACCATCAGCAATATAGGTATATCACTCACGAAACGCTTCCAGACATCTTTGAACTCTCAAAAGCACGCGCAAAATGCTACATTATGTATTCTCATATATTTGGTAGAAATGTGGACAACTAACACCATCTGTTAGCCCACATCTAAATAAACAATTAAACATCACAGAAAAGCCGAAAGGAAACCTTGAACGGGGAAAGAGCGGGTTGCCAGTAAAAGCTGGGAAAATTAGCCCCGTGGAAAATCGCGGTTGCACTATTCTACTCTATGGGTTGTCCGGAAATCGGGGATGCACAGCGAGAGTTAATGAATACAAATTTTTTTTAAAATAAAATAAAAAAAATATTCTTATAAATTTCTGAAGTTGTATCGTGGCGTTCAGATGGGTGAGTCATAGATGTCAACAATCTAGAGTAGACTCAAAATTAAAACTGACTTTTCTGAAGTTAATCTAAAGAAAAATGAGCACATGGAATAAATCCCATTTTATTTTCACACCAAAGATAAAAAAAAGGGAAAAAAACAAGCAATAATAAAATTTATAGCTACTCTGTCCTTAATGTATTTAGTTGGTTATGAAAAAAAAAAAATATCCCCTCCTGTGAGTGTGTATGGTAGTCAAGTCTATTTGTATCTCACAAGAACAAGTCAATTCTTTTAGAATTTATGATAGTGATCTTGATGAACATGTCTGCATATGTCATTATAGTATTCTAATGCCATAGTCTGAAGTTTCCATAGTTTTGGGAATTGCATAATTAGGGTTATTTTACATCAGTGTGTTTAGTGTAAAACGGCTCTGCTACTTCCATCTTAAAAGATTATAAAGAGATGTGGTCTTAGGTTCCTGTGAAGAAATACCCTTTTATAGTGTCTCAGCTACTGCAGTCATGACGTTAAGGCTAGACTGATATATTTGGCTTCTGTGGAATGGAAAGATAGCTTTTTTCGTGCTTAGCCATGATATTGTGTTGTTTCTTGTTTTAAGTACAGTGGAACCTCGAGATACGGGTTTAATCATTCCAGCATTGAGCTCGTATAGTGAATTTCTCGTGTTTGGAAACAAACTTCCCCATTGAAAATTATGGAGATCCAGTTAATCCGTTCTGCATCCTCAAAAATATCAACATAAAATTTTTTTTCTAAATATAACATGGTAAATATATAAATGTCTTACTTATGATAGCTCCAGCCCGACTTTTTAACTGCTTCTCTTTAATCCACACCAACCACAGCTTCTCACACCGGAGTTTGGATGTCTGGAAGTACATAATCCTTTGGTTGCATCACGTCTAATTTCTCCTTATTCAGAATATGCCAATCGTCGTGTCGAAAGCCATAAGTCTTGCAATTCCGTCACTCTTACGCATGCTTGTTATCTATGATTCCTTTCTAACTTCAAAGGCCATGGGCCTTATTTTTCTCCAGCACTATCGAGGCAGCAGTCTTCTGGAAGGAATCATGAAATAATTCCGCACATTAAAGGTATAAAAATTGTGCACAAAACACATCATAGACAATAAAAACACAAGACACACTCAAGAACCCCGAGTGATCTGACGAGTCGGATCGGGAAATGTACGCCCACATACCAAACAGTTGGGCCCCCATAGAGTCGTACTGTATTTAGAGAGAACATTTTGTGCTAATATTCCTCCTATCTCGAATTTTTCTCATGTATAGAGCTGCTTGTATCTCAAGGTTACACTGCTATTAATCCAGTTCCTCAATTTCTCATGTATAGAGCTGCTTGTATCTCAAGGTTCCACTGTATATAATCCAGTTTGGATTTTCCGCCAGATACTGGTGACAGTATCACTGATGATCTTTGATGATTAGTTTACAGTTTGTTTTTAAATATAATTTATTATTGATGGATTTTATAT